TAAAGTGGAGATGGATTGGACACTCGCTGAGGAGGCCGCTGGGTGACATCACGCGTCAGGCCATCGCTCGAGTGGAACTCGAAAGGAAAGCAGCGAGTGGAACTTCCAAGTGTGAAATGGAGGAGATGGTGTGAAGCGGAGTTGAAACACTATGGACTAACATGGATGCAGGTGAAAAGTACAGGAGAAGAGAGAAGCAAATGGAGGCGTGCATTTGAAGCCCTTTATTCCACTAGGAACCCAATGGAACAATAATATTATAATAGTGAATAATGTAAGTGCAGAACTTGGCCACTGTGGTAGAATGTAATTCCACATTAGATAAGTTTATTTTAAATATTGCACAGAGTTTCAGTTTTAACAAGTGGATGACATTCCAAGCAGAAATTATTGCCACTCATACCCTTACCAGTTTTAGCCACATGGTTTGACAATTTGTCTTATATATATATATATATCTTTCTCTCTATTCTATCTCTCCAACTTTCCATATCTCCGGTATAGGTGGCGTTGCGTCATTCCGATCGCAACGCGTGTGCTGTGTTAAATTGACCCATGGTACTCTTTAACACTCTCACCCGGTCCCACCCACTCTGTTGTGTGATTACATGCAAGTGAATGCAGTACATGCAATGGCTGAACTCTAGTTTTTCTAGGTTATTTAAAACTTACTTAGCACGGTCAATTATTCGAGGTCCCACTAAATTTTCATGTTCCAGTAATCCAGTTGACCCTGATCTGCTAGTTTGACTGACCCATGTAATTGACCTTGCTCACAGTCATCATTGCATAGTATTTGGTAAATGATACTATCTACTAGGTCTTTAAGCCGACAGACAAAGTTTATCTCTGAGAGAGTTGGTTAGACAACTCGTACGTCTGGGTGTTCCTGAAGTGAACTATTGGCCTGATAGGGTATCCTGCTTACAAAACAAAACTACAGAGGATTAAAAAATAATCATGGAATATGTAGAATACTTTTTAATAGGTACACGGGAACAGGATTAGCATGGAAAGAAATTGAAATAACAGTTTTTCATAACTCAAGATAAAGAAATGATGAAAGTAATGTAAAAACAAAAGATGGAGACTAAAAATATGGATAGAACTAGATCCATGTTAAATGTAGTGACTGGACTAGTTTATTTAGAACGCATAGCCTCGAATTTTCGATGCAAACGGTGAGGGATTTGTCAGTACAAAGAAGTCGGAAACACCCTGCCTTTGACAGAGTTTTGTTTACTTTGTAAGTGGCTCTACGTGGTATGTCAGTTGAAGCGCTGTGATACGTGTGTTGACGAAGTGTTCATTCATGACGTTTAGAAAATGAACCGGTGCCTCCATTATGCAGCTATAATGTTCTCTAACACGTTTTGAAAGTGTGCGCATTGAACTACCTATGTACCTTGCTCCGCACGATCATATATATGGATATTGGAGTGGTCATATACACATGTTTGTCCTTCAAATCGCTTATAAACAGCAGACGAAGAGATAAATCACTCTTGGTGCTGCTGTAGGAAAAGTCTTCTCTAAGGCACTAGAGACTCTCCTCCTAAAGATAACTGCCAATATGTCCCGCTTGAATCCCAAATTCATTTACAGTATTTATTCCCTTTGCTACTGAAGCGTATTCGGCTTTCGTTTCTTGTTCTTCTCCAAGAAACGTGACTCCTTAGTTTTAATCTTTTCTTTTTTGGATTCCTTTCCTTCGTTTTTCATCAACAGTTATGAAAAAAATCATTATTATTTCAATGTGTTCCTATACTAATCCTCTTCACCTTATCCTATTAAAAACTGTTCTACATATTGCATGACTACTTTCTAATCCCCTTGTAGTTTTGGTTTATAATCCCCTTGTTTGTAGTCTCCATATTTACTCACATCCTCGAGATTTCATATCAAGCTGAAGGTGACTGTCACCTTCCATCTCCTCCTTCGTTATTATATGTGTGGATATAATATTATTATATCCACACTATATAATAATATAATAATACAATAATAGTGACTGTAAACTAAGATACTAATCTGGCGTGTGTTACTAACAAGACTTTTCAGTAGTATATAAAGAGTCACTCATTGGCTTCTGTCTATTAATGTTCGAATGGGAATTTTTCATGTGAATTAAAAATTTGCAAGGACCCCTCGACATTTAAGGCTTGGCTGATCTCCATAACAACAGCGGCCTTCGAAAATAAAGTAAGCAAGCACCTCAAAGGACTACTTAAAGAAGGGCTAATAGACAACAGCACTTACAACGACCTTAAACCAAGGGGTTCGCGTGTACCATTCATGTACGGTCGACCCAAAGTCCACAAAAGTGATGTACCATTGAGACCCATAATATCAATGGTGAAATCACCATGCCATAAACTGGCCAGATGGTTAGCCCAAAAGCTGGAACCCATTCGAAAAAAGCTGGCAGCTCGCAGTATCAAAGATTCCTTCCAGTTTTCACAAGAATTAGATCAACTCGATATTTCAGATAGACTTCTCGTGTCATACGACGTTTGTTCACTGTTTACCAGCATACCCATCGAAGAAACAGTAAAAGTCATATGCCAGCAGTCCGAACTGCTCCCTCTTCCAGAAAATGAGCTACGCAGATTGCTATTTCTATGTACAAAGAATATTCGATTCCGATTCAACAATCAGCTGTACCGGCAGATTGACGGGGTGGCTATGGGTTCACCTCTGGGTCCTGTTCTTGCTGACATATTCATGGCTCATCTTGAACAGACTCAAATGAAAGAAGAAATAGAAAGAACCACCTATTACTGCAGAGTCACCGTACAAAAGGAAGAAAAGTGTTATCAAGTGCAATCGCCAGACATCTAATTGACACAGGACACACAGTGGAAATCAGCCAAGCCTTCAAAATAATCAATACACAAAGAAACCCACGGCTACTTCGCTTCGCAGAAGCCATTGCTATCAAGAGATTTCGACCAGACCTTTGTATACATAAAGATAGTGTGATTAATCTTTCACTACCTTGGTAACCCTAACTCTATTTTATTTTATTTTTGTTTTGCCTTTCTGTCAGTATGCCTGTGTGTTTGTCTTGTTACGTAACATTCTATTCAATTTTGACCTTCAAGTTTCTAAATCTACTTAATTGTTTGTCTGTTTAAGTTATAAATGTTACTTCACTACTCACCCCCACCCTCTTAAACTCTCCACCACAAGATGTGTAAATTTACTTTGTTCTCTGACCCTGACCCTGTAATATGCCTCTAACCAATCTGTGTTGTTTTCCAATAGAAATCTGAACTCTTACCCCTCTTATCTAATTCCACTATATATAATTAGTTGTTTTTTGACACCGAATAATCTGTCTACCTACATCAAATTCTGGAATTATGTTCCTTATGCCTTCTATCTATAACTCAAAGTATTTATGAAAAAGTATGTTCCACAACTTTCTTGAAACCTATAATTTGATTTTGTTTAGGATGTATGCAGTTGATGAGAATCCACGAAATAAAACGAGCTCGTATTATCCTGCAAACATGTTCGTTCTTTCTCTCTTCAAACTAATAAAGGGAACCGGTTGCATGAAATTACAAATATAGTAGTGGACAGGTTGTCATTACAAGAAGTGAAATTCGCCAAAACACTGAAACTTGTAAATATTTTATGTAACTAACCAACTACTCATAAGTAGTAAGGTTTGGTTTAACAAATTTATCTAGAAAATGAGCAAACTGATGGCTTTCATGTGTTATGTTGTCACTCTGAATCACCACATGTATCAGACATACTTATGTAAAAACTCACATAGGGGGAGTCACTTAGTCTTGGGGATAGATTTTACCACGACCTTTTCCCAACATTAAGCCTTTCGAAGTATAAAAACAACTGATCACTTGTAACCCTATAAGGCATTAAACAAACGACTGTGATCTTAAAAGAGACTGTCCTCTGTTCGAAAACTGAGTTTCCAGCAAGTCGGCATTAGTTGAAGGTGGTGCAACTACAGGATGATCTCCGGTTTGTTTTTTCCCCCTCAAGAGAACAACAGCTCGATTATTCAAGTGTTGCTCTACAGGGATTTGATTTGACTGGTTACAGGATTTCGTCATGAGCTGCTATCGGTTAGAGAACCAATGGAAACCACTGGGGAGTACTGGACAACTGTTTCGTCCTCATTTTTGGGACTCTTCATCAGTACAAGCCCACCAAAAAGGTTAGAGCCGAGGACCTTCCTCTTACAAGGCCAGCGAGCTCGTAGAACATTCACTTGCTCTTTGGGACTCGATCCAATGGCCATGGCATGAACTCCAGCCTCTGCTAATTCGCAATATTGCGCGATTGACAATAGTCAACGTCTTCGGTAACGAGTATCTGTCCATACACACCCACCCGATCTGCTGCATCCCATTGGTTACCACTTCTCACTAGAACCCAGGTAACTACCTCTAGCTGAATAGGGCCCCAGTCACTAGTGAGCATCAGGCTGGCGGGGCACAGTGGTTAGGACTCTCGCCAACCATGCACATGTGGGATGCTGAAAATTCATATGTATGAATATATGTTTATATTCAAGTCTAGGTGTGCAAGGATTTGAATGGGTGCGTACCGCTGAAAAATCCCAAACTAGGCTCTGACGAAAAACAGCAGTCCAGTACCCCCTAACTGGTATTCCAGTGTCAGTTCATAATGAAATCCTGAAACGAACGAATGCAGTATTGCCAACCAGTTGTTTACACATACAATCTCCTGCATATCACCTTCAGACACACACTACATACAACTCGTCGCCTTTACTCGAACTCAATGATCTCTCCTCAGTGTGCATACAATCTATCTCCAATTTCTTCATCATATATTTTGAGCAATAGGTTCTTGTTGCTAATTCTTTCTGACCAGCCGCGCCTAATGTTGACTACAGAGCTGCTATAGAAGGTAGCAGCATTTGATAGAATTTATAATAATAAAAGTCATTCTCTATACAGATGCCTCATGATACTTCTTGTCACTGTTTCTTTTTATAGACGTCACACGTAATCTCCAAGATATCAGTCCTACCTTTCTATCCCAGAAATATGCGAAAAGATATCAAAAGTACAAAAACAAGGAGAAAATTCTGTCCAGCTATGAAGCCGATCTATTTGTCTCCTCGCTACCAGTCCAGCTAGATAATGTTGATCAATATTATTATTATTATGAAGATGATGTAATCAAAAAAGCGATACCAAAGAAATTCCCACTGAAATCAACAAGCCTTCAGAATTCACACATACAGTCGAAGAGCACCTTTCCATTTTCCACATATTGTGGTTGTTGTTGCTGCTGTTGTGATTGTTGCCATACTCCTACTCAAAATAATCATAATAATAATAATAGTAATATTAATAGTCATAATGATAATATCGATGACGGTTATTCATCAACAATAAAAAAGTGTTTTAGTTCAACAAAATTCCAACATATTTTACATCATGTAATTCTAATCCTCTTGGCTATTTCAACAGCTCTGTCTATCCTACTATTATTGCTAGGCATATTTTTAAATTGTCGTGCTTGTCTAACCACTGGCTGTATCTTGGGCATAGCGAGTTTCGGTGCTCTCTTGCACGGATGTCTACGACATCGTTCACTGCCGAATTCATCGATGCCAATTATGCTAAGCGCATCGTGTATCATCTATCCTCCTATAGGGGATCATTTGTCACTGACGCCGAATCGATTTCTTCGGAAACACTCTAGTCCTGAATACTTTCAACAACTGCAACAACAACAACAACAACAAAAGTACCGTGGACATCAATATCGTCTGAAGACTATAGATAACCCTCATCATTATTATTATTATCATTGCAATAATAATAGTAAGAGTAAGAGTAATAACAGTTGTCATTGCACTAAAACTTAATAATAAGAAGAATAATTTCAATCGATCAAACGGAATCAACCAAGCACAAACTGAAATTAATGAGGTCAGTGGGAATCAATTTAAAAAGGTGGAAGACACCGAATCTTCGAACAACTCATCACTGTCATCATCACCATCATCAACAGCATCAACAGAATCAGCTATGTCGACCATCTCAGCGTCAGTTACAACTGTAACAATACAATCCGTAAAGCACCATGGTGATAATAATAATAATGACACTTATAAGTCTACTAATGAACATAACAGTAAGTCAGTGAATTCGGGGGGTTGTAAACAGTGTCCTGTTAGCTCATATCCCAAGCACAATAAAAAAGTGAATAAACTCAAAAACTGTATGAAATATCAAACTCAGGGATCATGTAGAAATGCTGAATGGTCTTCAGACAAAGGTAAGATGAGAGGTACTTTCAAAATATGAAATTATATATGTATATATATTTTCTGTCATCCCTCTGTACATGCTTATTATGTGACTACAGTGTCAAGTGACTCACCATCACGGTACACTCTGAACAATTGTTATTAGATGTGGTTGGAAGCAGCTGGCAGGCTGGGCCTAGGTTTCGTGTTTGTTGGCACTATCACTAGACATCGAGGAGTATATGCAGCTCTGAAGACACCCGTGTCACCAAGCTCTGCGATCGGAGATGTTATTATTATTATTATTGTATCCTTTAATTTCTACAGGAACATAGGGCTTCAGCCGTGCGTCTCTATTGCTTTCAGTTCTCTGCTAGAGTCTTCACCTGGCTCCAAGTCTGCCCACATGCTTTCATCATCTTCTCTTCACATGACCTCCTCCAAGACACCCACCCTCTCACTGACGACCAACTCGCCGCTTCCCATCCAGTCGGGTTCCACTCGAGCAATGGCTTGTCTAGTGATGTCACTTGATGGTTTGTTTTCTCAGAGTATGGCCAGCCAATCCACCTCTATTTCTTCCTGCCTATATGTCACACAATCAGTTCCTGGTTGGTTCGCTCCCAGAGATCCTACTCTGTTGCTGATCTTTTATGGCCGGCCATCTGATCTTGAGGAGTATTGAGCGAAGACAACTAGCTGTTGATGAAGGTCTGTAGTTTGTTTGAGATGCTCTTTATGACGCGCTGGTCAAGTCTCTGATCCGTATAGTGAGTAGCACTGACTGACTTCACATTGGAGTTGAAAATTCGGATCTTATTTTTGATGCTGAATGCTCTCTGTTGACCTCTCCACACAGACTTGAGAGTAGTGAAAGCTTGTCTTGCTTTTCCGATTCTTGCTTTGATATCCTCGTCAGTTCCACCCAACTGTAGTTGAAACGATGCTTCCCAGGTAGGCAGGTGAAGGAGGTTGTTTCTTTCAGGTTCCTCCCATTTATGCTGGCTGATTGTTGTCTGTTCTAAATATGTAATATACAAAATCTTATGAGATTAACTACCTGAGGAAAATCTAATTGTAATTGACCGATAATAAGGTTCATGTGCGTGGTGATAAGAACAACGAATGTAGTAATGTATGTTTATGTGTAGACAAGCTGCCTAGCTGTGCCACTTCTATGTGCATTTACAAATTTAGCTGCTTCTGTGGAGAAAGCCGGGCGAACAACAAATAGACCGCTTAACAGCTCCTTTCTTCATGGTTCAAAAAAAGCCAAATAAAATCTATGAGTAATTCTATTCTGTCTCATTTAACTGATGATAGAGGTCACCAAGGGGACAAAAGATGAAGTGCCTTCAAAGTTATCCACGGCCTTCCCATCGAACCTTTCGAACGGAATTTGAAACTGCCTTTTACACACACAGCCGAAGAAGCTATGGGAGTTCATTCGAGAGGACAATCCTAGTCCCTGCATACAACAAAAGAAATTTGTTCTACCTTTATCTCTCCCTTCGCCTAGGTAAAGTCTAATTAAAAATACCCTCCCATGCAGCCTTTCACATTTTCCATCTACTCCGTATTTTTATGATATTTATTCAAGCTCTGATTATCTGTCCACTTCACCCATCTTTAGTATTACGTAACTTTTAAGGTTTGAGCTAATTTGTTTATTTATTGAATTGTCTACATATACACACATATGACTACCTTTGTTATTGTTATCGCCGCCTGCATAAACCTTTTTATCCTTATTACTTTTGTTATCATTATAATCGTCGTTATTACTGACGTTCAAAAATTTAACATATTATTATTCTGAAAATTCTATTAATTTCTGGAGCCATTTAGGAATATGCTCTGAAGCCCTTACTTGCAGAGATCGATGAGTCCTCCCCATGTATGTGTTTCCACAAGTACATTCAAATTGGCAAATACAGTGGGATGTGATATCATTTTTCGCATGTACAAAGGGCTTAGATGGATGGATATATTGGCTTCACATTCTCAATTATTATGATATTAGCTGTATAAAAAGTCTTTTTAACCACAGCAGCGTTCAGTCTTTGTCTAGTTATCAAGCTGCTATGATGCCTCGCCCATATAGAGTAGCTTGATGTACACGTCTTTCTTGGGGGCGAGTTGTAGAGTGGGTCTTGGTGTCCCGCTGACTACTTTATATCTCCTGATGAACTTGTCTGGATAATTGTTATCAACCAGAGTTTGTGTCAACTTTCTTTCTTCCGCAACAAGTGTGTCTTCAGTGCACATTCGTTGGATTCTACTGAAGAGGCACCTCACTCACTAAGGCTCTTTTGTACCGCACAGGGCAGAAACTGTAGTAATTAAGATATTGTCCTACCCAGGTAGGTTTTCTATAAATAGATCTTTTTATTGACCCATCAAGCCGTCGACTAAGCAATATGTCTAGGAAAGATAAACAATTATCTTCCTCTTCTACAGATGTAAGTGATATGCTATTCTGAACTTCATTCATCCGATTTAAAATTGAGGTGGGCAATGGCGGGGCTAGCTAGTTGAAGAGGACAGCAGAAAACAGAATAAAGTGAGGATATGTTGTTGAAGGCCTATATGTTCCACTCGGAACCCAACAGTGGTAATGGTGACTATGTTTTCCACATATCTTGCTAACACTGATACTCTAACTGTGAACAGTAATCACTGTAACTAAAATAAAAGCTATTTAAAACGCCTATCTCAAAGAAATGCATTCATTTCTTAGGATAATTAACACTAGTCCCTTAAACGACCTAACTTCCTTTCCTTCAGAAGTTCACCAAAAACATTCTCATTATAATTTATTCAAAACCCTTTGGATGGAAAGTCTATACTACCACATAGATTCAGTAATGTTATCATTAGGCAATCTTAGATGACAAGAGTCCAAGAAATTATTGAATCCCTAGGTCACCTAAATGTCACTAACATCCCACTTCAATTCTGACACTCTGTGCACCCGACTATAATGGCAATGGTAACTAAGTCTAACTACTATTAGCTAATATAAAAACACAGATCAAATAAAAGATTTCATCAAAAGAGAGATTTTTTCTTTATTTTACAAGTATCAAACTGTGTATTTTCAAAAATTCCTGCCTAATATTAAACATGCAAGCAACATATACATTTGAAGACAGTTATAAAAACATACGGAATATTCTAGAATAATCTACAATAAAAATGATCAATTATTATTATTATTGTTTCCTTTAATTCCTAGAGGAACATAGGGCTTCAGCCGTGCGTCTCCATTGCTTTCAGTTCTCTGCTAGAGTCTTCACCTGGCTCCAAGTCTGCCCACACGCTTTCATCATCTCCTCTTCACATGACCTCCTCCAAGTCGCCCACCCTCACACTGACGACCAACTCGCCGCTTCCCTTCCAGTCGGGTTCCACTCGAGCAATGGCTTGTCTAGTGATGTCACTTGATGGTTTGTTTTCTCAGAGTATGGCCAGCCAATCCACCTCCATTTCTTCCTGCCTATATGTCACACAATCAGTTCCTGGTTGGTTTGCTCCCAGAGATCCCTGTTGCTGATCTTTTCTGGCCGGCCATCTGATCTTCAGTAGTATTGAGCGAAGACAACTGTTAATGAAGGTCTGTAGTTTGTTTGAGATGCTCTTTATGACGCGCAGTGCAAGTCTCTGATCCGTATAGCAAGTAGCACTGACTGACTTCACATTGGAGTTGAAAATTCGGATCTTATTTATTTTCATGCTGAGTGCTGCTCTGTTGACCTCCACACAGACTTGAGAGTAGTGAAAGCTTGTCTTTCTTTTCCGATTCTTGCTTTGATATCCTCGTCAGTTCCGTCCACATGTAGTTGAAACGATGCTTCCCAGGTAGGCAGGTGAAGGAGGTTGTTTCTTTCAGGTTCCTCCCATTTATGCTGGCTAATTGTTGTCTGTTGTTGTTGCTGTTGGTGGTGTTGTTCAGAAATCTTCATTACCTCTGTTTTCTCTATGTTCACCTGAAGTCCTATCTTCTCTGGATGCTTCTTCTGCCAACTTGTTGCTTTTCGCTTGCATATCTTCCAGCAGTTTGTGGGAAATCAGACATATATCATCGGCGAAGTCCAGATCCTCAACAGAGACGTAAATTAACAACCAATTAAGACAGTGATTACAGGAGAAATCAATTAAATTCATTTTATAATAAAAACCTGCTCCTGAGATGTTTTTTTCTGGAAGGACGAAGAAAGCGTCGCAATTAAACCATCAACCAGCTGAGAGAACACAAATAATTCAGTATATTGGTGTTTCTGAAATAGTAACCATTTCTTTACATCAAAATGGAGTTACAGTTCAAACAAGGCGAATGTTATAATACGCATAAAAATGTAATAGTAAAAAGAATATTCATATTCAAATACAACAATAAATTAAGGATCATTAAAACCTCCATTGATGGCCGAAGTGAGGACAGTGTCTGAACCAAACAACTTCTTCTTTTGAATACATAGATTAGGCTTCCTAATGTAGATTCGAACCGGACACTTGAGGTAGAATTAAGATTAGTCTGTCGGTATGCGGTAGATGACTTTGAAAGCAGCCTTGTTTACATCAATCTTGTGTTCTGTATCCACGAGTTGGGATAGAATGGAACACTGGATATGCTTTGTTTCTCCCCTATTTAACCACTGTGCTGGATGGTGTTCGGAAATCCGACGATTAACACCCCTCTAATTGTACGGCCTAAGTAACTAGCTACAAATAAGCAGTCAAAACTCACAAAGGCAAAGTAGACATGGAACGAACAAAATCCACTTATAGTTCTATTCTATCTCATCACATGGATACAGAACACAAAGCTGATGTGGGCAAGGCTCCTTTCAAAGTCATCTACTGTATACCGACAGACCAAACCATAATTCTACCTCAACAGCTTGTCTGTCACACATATAGTTGTTGAGGCTGTTCGAATCTACATTCAGAAGTCTAACCTGTGTATATTACATTTTTATGCTTATAATAACTTATTCGTATTTCTTGAACCGTAACTCCATTGTGATCTTAACAGACCGACAGTCTTTAAAAAGCACACCAATATGGTTAATGGTGATTATTCTAGAATATTCTATGTAAATAAGCATTATTATTAATATTGTTCCCTTGGGTTCCTAGTGGAACATACGGCTTCAACTACACGTCTCCACTTGCTTCTGTCTTCTGCTCTACTTTCCACCTGCATCCATGTTAGTCCATACTCTTTCAACTCCTCTTCACACCATCTCCTCCATGTCACACTTCAACGTCCCACTACCCGCCGCTTCCCTTTCGGCTTCCACTCGAGCGATGGCCTGACGCGCGATGTCACCTACCCAGCGGCCTCCTCAGCGAGTGTCCAATCCATCTCCACTTTCTCCTGCATATTTGTTGAGCGATTGGTTTTTGTTTCGTTTGTTTGTTTGTTCCCATAGTTTCTTGTTGGTTCTAGTTCTTGTTCTTTCCGGCCATCTGATCTTCAGTATGATGCTAGCGAAGACAGCTGTTGTTGTTGATAAAGCTGTGCAACAGGCTGTTGGAAATATTCTTTGTGACTCGCCGCCAAGTTTCTGATCCATCCGTATAGAAGAACTGACTGACTTGACTCATTTGTATTGAAAATCCGAATTTTGTTGTTGATGTTGAGTGACGATGGTATATAAACATGCATATATAATTGTAGAGCCAGAAGAGCAAATTATCGAAAAAGATGCTCTTTGCTGCTCAAATTTTCTTTTGTCTTCAAAATATCTGAGCGAATATTTTCGGTATGTTCACTTGAAGAAATCCACTGAAAGCCGGTGAATTCTACACTCCTCACATTCGAATTTCTTTTGTGTCACATGAATAATAAAAATATACAAAAAAAACTTTGTCAACGAATACAACAACATAATCTCTAAAAACCTTCTCGTGTTCTAGACAATTGTACGCAAGAAGACAATGAACAGTTATCAGAAGACGAAACTGGGGTCAATGGAGAAAAAGAAGAAGAAGAAAACGTCGGAGAGGAACCTGAAGAGATGAGCAAATTTCATTATCGAAACAAACACTACGTTGTATGATAGACACTCTCACCCTTGAGTGCTATTTCACTTAATAAATAAATAAATAAATTTATTAATTGTCTTCATTGTTCCGTTTTTACTATGTTCGGTTTTCTATAGTTCTAATAATGACAATTGTTCATAGGAAATTCAGTTTTTATTTTAAAAAAACAGTTCCTCAAAAACCATCCTGTACACACACATGCAAAGTTCTCTTCCTCCTACTCCTCCTCGAAAGCGGAGATTCAAATGAATGAAAGGGATGAGATTAGCAAGAGTAATCACACCTTAGCATATTCAACATATACATTGTATCACAGGATGAAAAATATCCTAGCATCTAACTAGGTGCTTTCTCCTCTGTCTCTTTATATTTGGTAATTCTGTAAAACTTCTTGAAGTATAAGTCCACCAATGCCTGAAAATTTCCTTCCCCCCGACCCCTAATTTTTCTGGCGAAATTAAGCCAACATCTACAGTGCAGTACATTAACTTCAATAGTCGGTTAACTCTAGGCAGGAAGAGAAATCTTATCTGTTCTCTATGCTCCAGAATTCCGAAAAGTTTCTCTGTAGATATGGTCGACATTGAACTAGAAAGCCTTCAAACAACTCTCTTTAATAATGGATATGTAACAAACAGAAGACAAGGGTCAGCCAACAGATCTCACGCACGAGACGCTGGAAAGGCAATTCGCGGATCAACAATTCAGTGCTCTTCTGGTAACGACGGATTTTAAAACCACCAGTAGCTAGCTGGTAAGCTTTTACGGGCAGCCTTGGTGGCCAGCTGCTTTCTTGGTGCCTTTCCTCCAGTAGCTTTGCGAGCAGTCTGCTTTGTACGAACCATAGCGAAAAACCGAGAGACGATGATCAATATTGGGAACATAAACATTGACGTAAATTACTGTCTACCAACTTTGGCTAGCAACCAGCTCTCACCACAGATATCCTAAAAGGTTTATTGACAGAAACATTAAGAAAGAAACAGTCTCCAGCTCAACAAATCACAGTGGCAAAGAAGACACTGGTTATGAGTTTGATGTTCAAAGGTGACACCTCTTTCTCAAGTAATTAGAAGTTGTTTACCTATATGAATTTCTTCAAAAAGAACTTCGAGACGATAATTGAACGATTATTAAAACTACACGTAGAGTGATGCGTGAATTCCGAAAACACAGAATCTCTCGAAAATACGGTACTACACATTAAACATAAAATATGAAATATAATATACAAACCAAAATTGTGAGGTGTCTGTGGCTGAATGTCGTCAAAAAGCACAATCAGTGTGCGTCAATATGTGAAAGCAGCAGAGCTGTATCAAAGGCGATCCATGTGTTATTCAAACAGTGCGCCAATGCCAGACACATAATAAAGGGATGCGAATAAACAATGTTTAACAGTCAAGGATACACGAATAAAGCATATACAGCAAATAATTATCATACATCTAATAGATTATTAATGCATCAAGTGAGATAAACTTCAATAGCGTCGGTGGCATAGTTGTTAGGATGCTCGCCGACCATGCACATGGTCCGGGGTTCGATCCCCGGCCACAGACGCACTCCTTTACCTCACTAAGCCAGAAATAAAGCTGGTAAAGGAGAAAGGTTGGGCATGAGGCTGGCAACCTCATCCTGTAAAAATAAACACTGCTAAAGAAACTTCAAGCTTCTAGCCTGAAGCCCTATGTTTCACTGGGGAACGTGAAGGAATAAAAAGAAAATCAAATAAAGACATAGTTAAGTATTAACAAATACAACTTGCACTAGTTACTAGAGATAAGTAGTATAAATTAACACAAAAGAAGGAATGACATGGAGGAAATAGGAAAGGAATTAACACCGCTCCCTTTCCTTAAACTACCTTCTAACAAGAAGCAGAAATGATACAATTTACTCTCGCCACATCTGCCTTCATCATCTAGATGCCTGCGTTTCCTCAATACCTTCCAAGAGCAAACTTTACGTACATGTCGGTTGATTATACATCTAGGTGTCTTGATATCCACCATTCCGATTTGTGCGTCACAGCTTGCTGTAACACCTGTAACTAGTCGTTTCGGCCAGAATTTACGAGGTGGAGATTCCTTGACCACTAGTACCAGCTCTCCCAATTGCAAGTTGCGATGCTGTTGAATCAACTTTGTATGTGATCGTCAGGTACTCCCACTTCCAACGGCTCCAAAACGTATCGGCAAGGAGTTGACCCTGCCTCAGTTTTCTGCATGAAATTGTCTCCATTTGGGAAACTCGTCCAAGATCCCAAGTCAGGAAAATGTCATTTGAACTCAGAATGTCTAAGAAACTTGAGCTATTGTAAGCAGTTACCAGCGGTCTATTCTAAAGTATCATTTCTCCTTCAGTTACCTAGGTTCTTGACCACTGCTCTCTGAAAATTTGTTCTTTCGAGATTAAGCTTAACAAGTGAGCTTCAGTACCTAGGTCACTGTACACTTCCTTTTAAGTTCTCCTACATTTGAAAAAGCACAATTGTGTAACATTGAGGAGACACCAATGGAGAGTGCATTCTGCACTTCCAAGTTTAGTGTTTGAGACTTCAAACTCGCAGGTTTGCTGCCATATCTTTCATATGTGGTGCATCCTTGCTTCGCTGCAAAGGGGTCAGGGTCATCTAAACCAGTGCAGTAATACCAAAGATAAGATCTCGTGTCCTACCTGTCTCCGGTAAACCTACCACCAACTTTTGGTTGGTTTTACAAACCTGGTCCTGCAACCGACACATCTGTTCACCATACATTTAACCCCCACACACATTGCTTTCAAAAGATGCACCAAACCTCCGTGTCCCTCAAACTCACGTTTATGGTAGACGATATCGTCTGAGACGAGACAAGATGGGTATCAGACGATGTCACTGGACGCATTGCTGAATTCGATCGCTTCCTAATACTCAGTTTCCCACTGACATGTTTTACTTCACCTATGGTAACAGGGCGCAGCTTCATGTTTCCATGGTAGGGCAAGTTGTGTCTGCTTGTCATTGCATTGAGTTCAGGGAATACATGTTGTTTCGATTTCGGCGGTATGTCAGCATTTGGGATAAACCCTAAAGTGTCTATGGTGCTAACCATAAGGCGGTTGTCTCCTAATGGCGAGGCTGTGGCTCGAGCAATTGTGGGGTGTCTGTGTCTGGCATTCGCGCGCTGTTTGAATAACACATGGATCGCCTTTGATACAGCTCTGCTGCTTTCATTTATTGCCGCATACTAACTGTGCTTTTTGACGATATTCAGCCACAGACACCTCACAATTTCGGTTTGTATATTATATTTCATATTTTATGTTTAATGTGTAGTACCGTATTTTGGAGAGATTCTGTGTTTTCGGAATTCACGCGTCACTCTACGTGAGGTTTTGCTAATCGTTCGATAATCGTCCCGAATTTCTTTTGGAAGAAATTCACAACCTGAGTGTATTAAACGCTGTTTTTATATGCAGCTGACTTACATTCAGTATTTACCTGTCGAAAAGTGATTCGAAAATACGTCAAAGGTAAACTACCGCTTATGTGTGTCCACCTGTATTTGCATAATACTCATTCACATGCGCTCATGTTGAGCTGATTGCATTGGAAGCTGTAATCGTGTTCTCCATAATCACGTAGCTGAACACTACCCAGTTTGGTTAATGAAAGATGAGCATAGGACGACGAGTCAGGTCATCCAGTTCCCCCCCCCACACACACACACGTGATATATCCTTCCAAGTTATTTACAGGACCATATCCAACCACTTCAAATGCTTACGTTTTCTCCACTTATGCAGAGCCGAAGCTTTAGATATACATGGGGACAGAAGCCTAGATCTTGTTGTGTTAAACCCCTTTCTTTATCTTGGTCATAGTAACGTTCTTTAGTTTCATTTTACTCTACTTCACCACCTGAATTCATTCCACTTCACTCACTTTACCTTCACCGTCGTTATTGTTATCATCATCGTAGTGTTTTTGTTTTAGACAACACTTGACCTACAATCTAAAAAAAATCGTTATACCAGCTCGCTCATTTAATAATCTTTAATTTAAGTTTTGTAATTCATCCAATTCAACTCTACCCCCATAGTACATCATTTTAATTATCTTTATTATTCTTATCCTATGTGCAATATTGACCACTGAGAAATTTCTAGTGCCACCTATTAATGCCTTCTTTTTGTGTAATGTATAAATACAACTGCTATGCAGCTGGTTGAAAATGAAGTCGTTGAAAAGAAACAGGATTTCTTCGCTGAACAAAACCTGTGTGTGTTTTCGACATCAAGCTTTTCCTATTAACTGTATTGTTCACCTCCCAATGAGGTTGGATTTCACTGGATAGAAAAGCCTGATTTATGCACACAGAAGAAACTTCTCCACCCCTTCCTACTACTACTGTGGGTTTAATTTCAAGTTTATCTGCCATCAACATTTTGTTATCAAATTTATTTTGCAATTTTCGTATGATAATTTTTAGTAACTAACCCATTCAATCTTTTCACCTATTATCTAGTTTATTTTCATAATTGTCTTCATACTCCTTCACTAACATCTAATCTTTCTAAACATGTCTATATTACGTAACCCTACTCACATCTTACCAATCTTCACCCCACTTAGTTACAACTTTGATTATTAATCACACATTTTAAATTCTCAGTTATTTTGATGATGTAATCAACAACCCATACTAACTGTTATTTTGATTTTGACAAACCTAATGTACACACACACACACACAAAATTAATTGCATATATATTTTCGACTGTACAGCTAAGTGAATGAATTCACCGAAAAAAGACTCTTCGCTGAACTAATTTGTTCTTATTTCACTGAATATCTCCTCTCTACAAAATGTACTGGAAATCATTTTGGTTTGAGTTCCACAAAAAACAAAAACGATCCAGCTTTCTTGAGATGGTGTTTTGTGCTACAAGAGCCAGTGGACTATGTTTCTCCCCCTCTCTCTTGGATCAGAGTAAAGAATTAAGAAGTATGAATCATGCCTATTTTTAATATATTTATGCG